TCATTCACAATCGACAGTTAGCAAATGCAAGGTCCAACATTAGCTGGATTCTATCTATGAATAAGCCGGTCTTTTTGGTGTTGAGTATAATGTGGCCAATATGCAGTTTTAAACCGATGTAACATTGATGTCTTAGAAATTATATGTTGACTTTACTAATGTGTAAAGCAGACCAAGTCGCATGTGGATTCAGTATAACTTGCTCTAAAGTTCTAAAGTGGCAGAATTGCTGATCATCCCAACTTCATTTGATAATTTGGGCCTGGATAAGTTGTTTCTAGACTAACCATATCCGCCTTAATTGTTACTAACAAGGCTTTGTTGTTGCGCCTATTTTACTCGAATTCGCATTATAAATGTATTCAGTGATCGCCTATTCATGCAATGAATTGATTGTATGTATCAGATACACTTACATTATGTGCAGAATATTTGCATTTATTAACAAATAGTTTACGCATTTGGAAACATAGAGTACTTTTGATCTGACGTCAATACAATGTAAGGTTAGTTGAATTCAGGAAGTTTTCGTGGTTTAATCTTTCACAATGACTAGCATAACAAATTCCGTGCATCCGCTACTTAAATCCATCTAACACTTTATTTGCATGTTCCTATCATAAACTTGATTATCTGTGGTTCTCTTGAATATAGTGCAATGTAATGACCGATGGTCGCCACTTAAAGACAAGTTGACAAGACATATACTGTAGTAATCAAAGTTACAAGCGCTTGTTTGCATCGACTTACTCCTTCCGAGCAAAGTCCTCTTTCCTATTTAAAGCAACGTAACCTTCGTCGGACAAGGTAATGTTATAAGGAAAGTACTGGTCTGCTTTACTGGTAAACTAGATTCTAAAGGGACATGTCTCGCAAAACTACCAAAAAGACACTGAGGTTTGCGAACTTGGTAAAGTAACGAGTAATGGTCTAGGACAGCTGGACCAGTTGTATGTAAATGATTGAACGACAAATGCATTACAACACTATGATTTTTTGTTGCTTCCGATACAACCTCTTCAGGATCACCAATACTGATCGCATCGTGAGTAAATCGTGTCTATTGCAAGGGCACAGCATACATATAACGATAGTTATCAGAAAGGTGTATATGGACCGCCGATATTTACTTCCGGAGGAGTTGGTCAAAGCCATTCTGTCTTTAGGAACCAAGACAAGAATAAAACACCGGCTAACAAGTAGTCTGTATTGCCGAGGAAGTGGAGAAAACAATCAGGACCAAAAGTTGTCAATCCGCAAATTTGCTGCTAAGCACGGTCAATTCTTAGTTACCAGCTCAAATTCACAAACCTTGTAGGAAACGTTTGAATCCCTTTATGTGCGCTTAACTTCCTTTGGTTTTACTCGCTTAGTTGGCTAGTTGATTTCGTAAGCACTCGTGTGTTTTTCGGCTATATTTCCCCTGGGACCACTCTGATTCTCTCTGGTCTGTTACAAAACCACTCATCGCTCGTGCTGGACCGGACAGCATAAATTGTCTTGTTCCTCGCATCCGTGCAGTTGTGCTCAGCAAACCTGAGAGATTTTTCAGTGGCATAATGTCCACTGGCCTAGTATCAAATGAGTTCAGCCAAACCACTAGCCACATGCAAATTGTTGATTGGAAGCTTTGGTAAAATAGGACCTTTGTTCTTCAATGTATCGGTTGAGCACACTTAAAGAGTATGCGCGAAGTTAAGCCAGATTTATTAGAAAACAAATCTCCCTACATGAGAACAAGAGCTACTGGTATAATAAAGCGTACGAACGAACTAATTTTTACAACACTTGTATATTTCCAGGCTTTTGATGCCTGCTACTTAACATGAGCATCATACAATTGGTTTGCAAACGTAATTTTCTAGATATTTTGAACCAGTTATCCAAGGGATATGCGTAACCTTCACCTCAGAGAGGTTCCGTTTTGCGTTGTAAATTTATATATTCTAATATGCAACTAAAATTAACAAAGTGATCAATGTGATACCAATCTTCCAAGTTAAACAACTTCGCCTGTTATTTTTTTTACAGACCATAAATTGCGTTTGCGGAGCAAATGAAATTGCATTAAGTAGCAAACGATATCATAGTGTATACTCTCAATTTCCTTTCCATACTCAACAATTAGACCCCTGCTACGTTTTATCAAATAGAAAACAGGTTAGGTAAAAATAAGTGTTACAATATAAACTATTTATTAAACATACACCAATTTCAGCAGACTGAAACACATGACAGAAATAAATATACACAATAAATTTCCTAATGTTTGGTCACAAAATTACATATCATATCCAGAATCGCAGCTTCTGCCTGATTTTGTGGAATACACTAAGGTGGATCAACTTGAACTCTTTTTTGCTTTGACCTTTAATTAAGAGTGACCGGTGGCAATAATAAGCGTAATTTTACTGCATCTTCCATTTGGGCCAAATAAAAAAGTGGATAAATTCCTTCTGTGTAAAAGTTGGCTTGCACAGTGGAATCTTTTTCATCTGATAACCAACCGCATTTGTTTTTATGTGTTGTATACTTTGGATTAACTAGTTCCCATGACTCAGAGCTAACTGGTGTCTGTGAAATACGAGAACCCGATTAGCAAGATTACGTTATGTCTATAGGTATAGGACTGCGTCAACTGATATAGAAAAATAAGAGCCCAAACCAAAGCACCCATTACGGAGAGCTTTAGAAGGGTGCCCTAAATGAAAGGTTGCTTTCAACTTTTCAATTCATGTTTGCAGTGCTATTTAAACTCAACCATCAATTACCTTGTCTTTCACCACATGGAAATGCGTTCGTACTAATTTGTAGTGTCTGAAGTTCAGTATGGTTAGACGTTTACGATTATGCTTCTGAAGGACCATCTGAAGCAATGCAATGTGGTGCTGAAGATATTTCTTTCAGCAGAGCGAAGAAAATGGATGCGCGAGTAAAATATATGCAACTTCCTAAGCCCAATGAATTACATTGATTTCTCACATAATGTTTTACGCAGAGCAGAAATGGTAGACACCAGTCACCGCAACATTAGTTCTCCTCCGGCAAAATTACTTTGTAAATTTGCTGGTTTATGTTCTATTACAACGCGAAGCACCAATTAAACATTCCAGTTTAGAGGCAGTTACAATAGAAAAAATTCAAGTCTGCTTATGCAACAAGTACTGCTGTATTGTGAGCGCAAGTGGAAACGTAACTGCGTACAACTTTAAGCGAACATGCTAAAATTGCCAAAAGGATTATCTATCAAATTAGAAAGCTAGGCGTTATTCAAGTTCTCAAGTTGCATGTAAGAAGACTGACAGCTCTACTGCGCTGAAAAATATAAGCTATGTTTCTTAGTGTGCAATGATAATCTGAATCAAATAATGATGGAACATAAAAAGCGGTTGAAATGCTGCACCTATTTGATATCCACAACTTATTTTGCCAGACTGTTCCAAGCACTAATCTCTCGTTTTGAAACACATGCCTGGGGTACTCTATCTGGATACCGCACCATAAGTTGTAACGGTGCCTGCGTGTGCTTCATGGTGTTCACACGTGAAGTGCCGGTCTCAACAAAGGAAGTCACCGAGTTGCAATAGGCGGTAGGTCACGAGCTGATAAGCTCACTCGAAGATAGGACAATCTCTATTGTCACAGTTTCTAGTGCCGGCTTGCTTGTGTTAATCCCCGTTAACTTGGAAAGAGTCTACTAGCTACATTTCGGACCCGTTCGATCTCCTTTGGTTATACCTGCGGGTTTGAACAGTCGGCGGGCGTGCCCTACTCCAGTAATTGTCTTGTGATAGAAGAGACGTCTTATGATCTTATGAGACAAATACAGAAGAGGCGTTTGAGTGCCCAGAGCATTTGCAATCCGTTTCGGTGTAGCCTAGTTGTTCAAGGACTTGAAATCGTGGAGCTAAAGTATACCAAGGTCCTTCATGAAACGCGTAAGAGGTGGAAGTTGACTGTCTTTAGAATACCTTCGACCGTCACTACGCTTCCCCAGGCTCATCACTACTGACTTGGTTGGCTTGATTTTGGGGCGGACTTTTGTAGGTCACACAAGGAGGCAGTTGAGGTCTTGCGGAAGTAGGCCGCAATCATCTGTGGGGCTGAACACTATATAATTCTCTAGAACACCTGTAAAAAGCGCACACAGTCACCGAAGAAACTGGAGAGATTAGTCAATATGAACTAAGAATAGAGTAGCCATCAGATCCGTGACTTGGGACATGCCATTTGTAGAAGGAAAACAGTGGGTTATATGTCCGTTAACTTGTGCCATCCATTTCTCTCTAGACAGAATGTTCGTGACCCCAACAATGCAGCCTCTGCTTGTTGACGGTTACCTCATTGTTTACCTTGTTCAACGCTTTGATGGAATCAGTGAAGATTAGTTCGATAGATTTCCCCTGGTTAATGGCTTGCAAAAATTCACGTGTCGTCACGAGTAATTTGACATCGCATGAGCGATCTAGCATGAACTATGCAGTGCGGTCTTCGTAACTGACTCGACCAGTTTTGTTTCTTTAGGGAAGTTTGGTCCTTACTGGGACTGAGTGTCACAAACTATTCAACAAATCTGTGCCTCAAAATTGTGCTTTCTATCAGTCACTAACTGTTGTGACAAGCATTGTCAACTGCAACTCATTGACTAAGGGAAAATTGCATCGATTCTCATCAGAAACCGTCGGCATTCGAGTCGCACTGCTGCTATCCACACCCGATACATGCAACTGAGAATGAAGGCATTCGTAGAGTGCATGATTGCGAGCGCTTAACAATCAAAAATCGCCAAGTTATTAAGTCCGTCTGTTACCCAAATTAGGTACATATCTATTATTACATAAATTAGGCTAACGCGGATACCATTTTAAGGGAATATGCATTTCTGGCTGATTACGGCTAATATTGCAGATGTAGCGTGAACTTACAAATACGATATCTAAGGTTACTAAAGGTTGTATAACTTTATTTATGTTCTTCTTTTAGCTGACATTCGCAAAGGCATGCTAGTGTCAACCCTTTCCACACATATCCATTTCGTCATAGCCACATCGCTTATCTGCGGACATCAAAGCCGAATATTCGGTAGCTCATTAGATGCCATCCAACACAGAATTCGATACGCAATCACTGAGAATCAACCAGCAAAGATGCGGATTGGAAAGCTGGATGAGGATCTACTTCAGACTCCAGAACTAAGATTGACAGAGCTGTTGATTTTGTTGCGAAACAACAAAGATGAAAAGCTATCCTATAGACTGACAGACGCTTCCTCGATCTTTCATTTGAACGAAATAACCAGTGTGTTATCTACCATCACGTCTATTGACCTGGAGGAATTATGTTTACACCATTGTACAGATGGCTCCAGTAGAGCACAATTTAATTTGTTTGTGAATATCTTTTATGCATCTCGTTTAGTTGCTGTGGTGCACGTTGAAATTACTGTGATAGATGTGGATGATAATCCGCCAACCTTTCCACCGACAATCTCGCGCCCTTTTGTACTGCAGCTGAAAGAGGTTATTTACAGAGCTGGTCAACAAGTGGAACTTCCCAAGGCAATTGACAAAGATGTACAACCTGATCATGCGGAAATTTCCTATCACCTAGAATCCCACCCGGATGATGTCTCACAATCACTAGAAGCCTTTCGCTTGATAACTCGGAATGATTCCAGACCTATGCTTCTGCTACAAAAAGATTTGGATTACGAAAATGTGTCTTTGTATAAGTTTTATCTTATTGCCCAAACACCGCAACTAGAGGGGCGCTCTGAGAAAATCTATTTGAACGCACCTCAACCCCATTTTCGGGACCAACTTGAAGTTCATGTTGAAGTAATGAACATCAATGACGTTGAGCCCATTTTCTCAAAGCCTGTCTATTCTCTGAATGTTCCAGAAGATGTAGAGGTTGGGAGTGTTATCCATATGGTGAGTATTTATTACTGATTAAATTTACCGACAAACAAATGTTTTAAATTTATTAAATTCTACACGCCGTTTATGCTTTTCTGGGGTCAGAGATTTGAGACTTCAATCAAAACTTTCGAGTGGCGGGAAGCGGGCGTGTTATCAGTTAGTCAGTTAAGAAAATGGAAACTAATAACATACTTTGTCTGAAAACCATTATGCCCTGTTTATGAATTACGGCACGAAATAGCAATCAGAATTGCAATTCATTTTCAGACGCAATACTTTTACTTCGATCGCTGGCACATTATCTAAAACAGATAAAGATATAATGAAACGTCTTTTAGCTTAAAACATCCTAAATAGAACTAAACAGCATCAGAAAGTATATTCGCTTAATTGTGTTGTATCTCAAACGTTGTGACGCTCATCCAGAAGAACCAGGGCAAATATGAGTGTCAATTTCCTACCTGGACTATTGCACTGTTGTTTCGATGAAAATCGCCCCGGAAAGTGATGCGTGAATAGAGCTCTCATTTAAGGCGCAAACATGAGCTAGTAAATTCTACATAGCTACCTGTAAATTTGTGGTATACGTCTGTTTACCATATCCATCCTGCACGCTGTTTGCAAAAACAGCTATTTGAACTTAGTATGAAGCTTGGATAGTTGGTTTAGATCCGTACTTGATGTAACCAAAGTGCTTGTTTTCTCTTCTTTGCTATTTATACATGAATTATGTGCGGTGATTCCGTGCAACATCTATAAAAAAATTATAACTGCATGTAATCCCACTTTCCTTATTCGTCGTTTTGTTCTGCAGCTGGAGGCAACGGATACGGAAGTAAACTCTACAATAACTTACTCTCTTGAGTATGGGTCAGATAAGATGATAAGTACAACATTTCGCGTCGAGCCGGATGGCCGAACAATCCTTATACACCCGCTTGACTTCGAAACGCAGAAAAGATATTCTTTTTCAGTACGAGCTAGTGATGGGGAATTCGGATCGTTCGCAACGTTGGAGGTAAACGTTACCGATGTAAATGATGAGGCACCTGAGTATATTACCAGGCCAAACAACCTTACACTGGAAGAAAATCAACCGAGCCACACATCCATTGGTCAGGTGAGTTCTAAACGAAGAAGTGTAGCTTAATTTCTCGTCGTGTTGCTCGGGTAGACCTAAGCCACAGTGCGCATCGGTCGACTTAATATAATAGGCTGGTCGCAGTGTGTTGATAGTGCATCACTTACAAGGTTAGTGATTGGGAAATCTAGTTACATATGCACTGTGAGAAAATCAATCAAGCGACAAGCAAGCGAACTTGGTGGACGGTAAGTTAGGTTAGACGATAAAAACTTTCAAAGCTACCGTATGTACTCAACAGGTATACTAAATGACATGCGTTCTATAATGCATCATATTTGATTTTAATATAAATATTTGCAACACGTGAAGGAATGCAGTATATCCAAGCGTTTATCAAAACCGTTGATTATCACTAGATATTTGGCTATCATTGGCAATAACCGTGCAAAGTAATTCAGGGTATACAGGTATATATTCTGTTCAGTGTCAGGAATAGGCGCAAAAAGAAAAATTAAGAAATGTAAGCGATAAGGTTGGCTCATGAGCTGCAGATTGTCGTGCGTCAAATTTCCTTTAATTTTTAACCGTACCCCAGGTATTTAATATTAATATGAATTCGCTGGTTTCTATAAATTATCTACTTTATAACTGGCAGAAAATAACCGAGAATATTGAAACGGACTTGACTTCAATGTATTTCGTTTGATCTTGTCAGAATATAGATAATTATTCTACCAAGATTTTGCAAACGCCGATGAAACACTTCGAAAGCGCGAAAAATCATCAGTGAAAATAACACTTTAAAGAAAAATTAACTTACAATGAAGGTAAACGCACTATTTGATTGGATCCACTACTGGACAGATAAATCAAACTCGTACCGGGTATCACTTTCCTTCTCCGAGCCGGCGACTTTACTTGCTATGCTGATTGTAGCCATCTAGAGGTTAGACAGCTTATTCACATTCTTATTCATATTCCATGAACTTAAGCCATGTCATGAATTGCTTAGAAAGAGTGCTATGCACTGACAGGATTTAAAGTGTATGCACCGGACAACTTAATCTGCTTTTTTAATAAATTTAATTGCTCCTAATTCCATGGTACTAAACGTGTCATGGCTCTTAAGAAACTATTTTACCGTCTACTTTATTTAACCTACATTGTCAATAACAGTTTACCACGAGCTACTATACCAGCCTGGCCGGCAAAATAGTTAGTCAACACAGAGATGTCGCGATCCATAAGCTTTACATAGTAAACATCATTATACTGGAAAAGCCGGTCAAATTAGAGGTGGTCAGGATCTAAAGGTGCTCAACTTTGCAGAGTTTAATGTACGTGCTGCTGTGTTCAAAATGAAAGTGAACTCTTTAAATTGCTGGCCAAGCGGCGAAATAGGACGCTTCGGCTGCTGAGTGCACGTGGAAACTTGCCTAGACACCAAACTGCCATTAGTTGCGTTTGCTACTAGTTGTTTGTTGGCACAAGCTGTTCGTCGGATTAATTTCAATGTAACTATGAATAACCTTGAAGCAAATCTTGTGTAACATTTCGCTGCACAGGGAAATCTGTCATAGAGAAAATTCAAGTGCCTCCCGAAACATATGTGAGGGGCTAGATGAGTCGCACGCAGTGTTATAGGTGATTCAAGCGTTTGGAGCCCAAAATATATTATTTCGGTTAGGATCGTAAGCCTTGGCAATTGTCCACGTCAAAAGACAATGGCCTGCTGCTGGTATCCATGGAAATACTCGTCTATATATTCGAAACTTTGCTGACGTGGAATGCATAAGCATAGGAGCACGCCATCAAAGTTTGAGTGACAAACTTGGGATGCGTCATTTTATTGTCAAATTTGTGCTGCGTTTGTTGACCGTGGATCAGAAATAGACCCTTGTTCAAATCATCCAGAAATTATTTATCGTTGACATTGTCAAAGGGAAGATTTCTAAGAATGTGATAAGAAGCATTGATATGTGGGTTTATGACTATGATACTGAAATGTATGTGCAGTTGCCGCAGTGGATGGTCTCCTCTATCATAAAAGCAAGCAAGTGCCGAGCAGTGATAAATCGATTTTGGTTGTATAAGTTGGTCACAGATGCATATTTTAACAGACTTTGTACCGCGTGATCAGATGGCAAACAAGAATTTCTTGTAGGAAATTCTAGCAACTTTGATAGACGCCGTGCATATGTGGAAACCTGCATGTTGAGGACAGCAGACGCGAATTTTGCTTCATGACAATGCGCTGGCTAACGCACTGGTAAATGTCCATAGAACTTTAGCATAACAACAAAATCCTAATTTACTTCATCAACATATTCTCTGAATATATCCCTAACAGATTGTTTTCGTTATCCAAAAATAACCGACTGAGGTGTAAGCGTTAAGTCTATGCGTCACTAAAACAGTGATGCCAATTTAAGTTATTTAAATGTACGTAGTTAATGGCCGAACAAAACAATAAACCGCACGAGCGAATACTTTATGTGTGTGATCCCCATTCACATCACTGTTGTAATATTATCAATTCTGTACTGCATTGCGAGGTGGCATTATCAGTCAAATTAACAGCATAGGCTATACACCTGTGTTCACATGGCAAACAAAAGTGCAGATGAAAACACTCCAGAACACCTATAGCATTGGACTTACTAGATAAACCAACAAGAAATTAGATCATAAGTTCAAATTGTGTTAACATGTGTGCGATTGAATGCAATTTGGCTATTTTCCTAGCGCCACTGAACATGGAATTAAGTTAACATAGGCTTGCATAATGCGAACTAATGACCAGAGCTTACATAATTTGAGCTGGAACAAAGAAAAGGGTCGGGTAACAGATAGCTTGACGCACATTGAGGGGATCATTGATCAGGACTAAAGTATCACATGATGAATTATCCGGGATACTTCAAACTCTCCATAGAATATGGAACATAATATTAATCTCTTGTTTCGATTTGCTCTGGTCCATCCAAATCTGCTCCATCTTTTACGAAGAAGCGAGGGACTTACAGCGGTACACTTCAAACTCTCCACGTCAGTCTGTTTTACCCCCAGTGCTTTTTCCTGATGCCTGATGGTAAATGATGTAAGTCAGGTTCGAAAACAATAAAAATTTGCCTTTATTACTGCGCATTACTGTACATTACGTTGCCATCTGTTGAGATGTACCTTCTTAGGCAAAAAATGCCCATGATAAGAAAACGAGGGGACTCGAGAGAAAAGGCCCTCATTTATAGATTCGTGCGAACGTGTTGGGCGAATATGGGGCCAAAGCGTCCGGCTGCCGCATGTTTGAATTTATGCTAGTGCCGGTTAAGTCTTTTGTTGACAAGCGGTCGTTACCCACTCCTTAAAATTCAGTACCTACCGATCACTAGCCTGAAATCTGTTTCTCTTTGTGCACTTCAACTTTCCGGCGGATGCTTTCTATAACTTGCGAGACACCGGAGTGATCTTCAGTAGAGAGAAGAAGTTAATTACTCTCACTGTCAACGTGTGCTTAGATGTGAAGGTTATTAGATACATTTCCAGTGTTTCAACGGCAGAATACTCTGGTATACTACAGATAAAGAGTAGACTATCGCGTAGAACGGGGCACACTTATTTAGAATTTCTATCCAGCGACCTAACCGGATACGCTGCTTTGCCAACACATCCGCCCTTTCTAGTTATTTCTCGAAAGTAACAGTAACGCTGTAAGATCAGAAGGCTATCTTTATCGGCTTCGGAAATTTAACGGGGGCTAAAAAGCCCATGTTGTGCGGACGCCTTCAGGGATTTACTTAGCCGATATCTGATAAACATCTAGAAGCAGCACAGCTGGGTCATGTATTTCAATAGTTGAAGACAAGTAGGTTGTTCGCTAAACAACGCACATTGTTGGGATTATTTTGAGAACGCAAAACGTGAGCTGCTAATCGTTTAATTACAGAGAGCTTATATGTGATGGTCACTGGAGTTCTCAATCTCGCAGAGATGTGGGCCCTGCGAATTAGCTTTTTAGGCGACAGGACGACAACCTGTCATGTGATCAAGCGTCTTCTCTATTATTTGGTAAATTGGCATACGTCCATTGTTTCGGTTTCCATACTCCCTGATCAGTCGACAGGTGCTTCACACTAAACGTGTTGAATTTTGTGGGTACGTTGTTGATGCAGCTATACATGATCATAGAATCTATCCTCGGCGAACGTCTTCCAACATATGGAATGAGGCTTAGCTGCATTTAAATCAAGCTTGCAAATTGGCGTAGATTAAAATGAAGCTGCACTATATTTAGCGTACAGCAGGCTGCAACGCATAATGGTATCCGGATTGTCGAATATGTGTAAGCGGGCGCAATGTAATCCGTTTCCTGAAGCGTTTCAAAATATATGCAGCTCTATTGCCTTTTTATAAAGTTGGCCTCCGCGTGCACCTATTGTAATCTTTATAGCAACTACTGTCGTCAAGCACAAATGCTTTTTTACACATACAACTTAATCTGTTCCCTCAGTCGGGTTGTCTTAACCGGGATTATTTAAGCATAGTTTCGACTGGAAATACTTTTGCGCGTATGATGCTAGGAACAAGGAAACTAAGAGGGTCGCAAAATGAAATGACCACAGCGAGCATTGATCTTTCCGATTGCGAACACTCATTAACATATTATCAGAACAGAAAGATGTCATTCTTCGCACTTCATTCTAAATTTAATGTGCGATATACTGTGTTGAAATTTCTGTGTTTAAGCAAAATTGCGAGCTCAGTAGACAGCAACACTTTGAGAAACTCAACGCTTTTGAAAGACCAATTTTGAGGCATAAGTCTTGCCCTAACAAGGAGCCCCAAATTTGCACACTAAACTGGATGTCTTTAGGTCTGTAGGGCGATGATATCAAACAGTCGTAAGCATAGTTTCCATTTATGACTGTATCTGACTCATTTCTGTCGAATGAACAATGAATTTATATGGATTAAGAAGCGTTGCTTTACAAGTCCCGTTGGATAGTTGGTGGGGATATCAACATAACAATCATGAT